GTGTCATGTCATGATTATGAAGGTGTCATGTCAGTCTTATGCACACCCCTTCAAGTAAAGTGTTACCAAAAAAACTTTGTTTTATTTTTCAGCTTGATGTTTATACAGTCTCTCAGACTCATCTCCTGAGCCACTGCACAAAGGAACAAAATGTAACCAACACAATAAATCAGTGCAAAATAGTTTTAATAAAGCTCAAATAGTCTTCAGTTTACACATCTGTTAGGCTACATTTACACTAGTTAGTGTTCGTGTTAAAATGCATAGCTCAGACAGAATCATGATTTCTATTTATTTTCCACTGATTTACTGATGAGCATTAGCAGCTTCCAGCTCTGTCTGCTTGTGTTCTCTCTTCCATGATCGCTGCTCTGACTCAGAGGTAATAACATATTTAATTTCAGCAACATTACATGGCCAAAACACACATTAGACGGCAATCGGAAGTTATTACAAACACTCGATGGTGGTTTAAAGTGAGTTTTGAGTAAAAGCGGAATATAAATCCTATTTATTGTCTTATGTAGCATGATGCTACAGTTTGCATGAATGGTCACATAACACGTGCTTTCGGTCGTGTAACGTTAGTATGAACGGACATCTGCATATGATCGGAACTCCACGCAGCTCCCGCGCTACTCTCCATTGGAAATGAATGACTGAATGACCGGTCTGTCGTTTGTCGGAGATAGTGGAAAGCCGGCTTGAAACGCTGTGAAAACGCCAGTATGACGAGGATCGTATTCATTTAAAAAAATAAACGCACCAGTGTAAATGTAGCCTTACATCTATGGGGGCTAGGACGCATTCACACTACAGCCTCACGTGTGCGCCACATCTCTGAGTGTAACCGGGGTAAACTAGTAGGTGTGTTCGACTTGACGCGGACCGACTGTGCAGACCGATCGGTGTATTACAGTACCACGAGAGCTAAAGAGAGCAGACTGCTCCGTACGCTTTCGAATCGCTCTCGTGGATGATCGATCTGCGCCGCACCTCTTCTAGTCGAACACACCGCCTAGTGCTGCAGGCTCATTGGCTCACTGACGCTGATGAGATTAACCCCTTAGGTATCGAAATTTGGTACCGAGCGACGAGACGTTTTTCGATACTCGATGGTATCGAGGCATTTCGGTCGGTGCCTAAAAGTATCGAACTCGATACCCAGCCCTAATCACGGGAATAAAATATATTAAAATTAAATTGAAACATACATAAAAACTACTAAAAATGACAAAAGTAAAAAGAATAAATAAAACAAAATTAGAAATGATGGCTTGGAAACTAACTGAAATAACTTTAAGTACTAAAATTGCTAAAGCTGACAGAGAAATACAAATAAATTAAGACTAAACAGAAAAAATAAATATATACATAGATAAATAGAATTAACAACGACAAAAGAATGACATAAAATAACTAAAACTTGTACCAAAATTAAAATGAAAACTGAAAATATACTAATAAACCTCATTCAAAACAGTAATAAATACTACATCAGTGTATAAGTAACGCTAAAACAATACTGCCCAACACAAATTGCAAGGTGATTAATAAAGGCACGAGGTGGAAGCACTCACTCTCTCTCTCTTTCTTCTTCATGCGCTTGCGTCTCCTGTCGATGGAGGCCACCTCAGATTTGAGCAGGAGGTAGTGATTCCTGATGTCCTGCAGTTTCTCCTGAAGGAACGCTATCCGCTCTAGACTGCTCATCTTTTCCAGGTCCGCTGGAGGGACAGGAGCGAAAGGGAATCAGCATCAAACATTAATTTCTTCTCATTGAGAATGTGTGGCAGTCTGTGGCACTTACTCATCTGGAAGCTCCACTTGCTCCGGCCGTGGGAGTGATCCGGATCGCCGTGTTTGTGGTACTTGTGGCCTGAGGGGGGCGTCCGCTTCAGCTCGCTGCTGCTCTTGGATGTGGGGGATTTGGCAGTGCTCTCGCTCATACACTGGTCCTCACTGTCACTGCTGTGGGCTGCAGCGCCACCCGGAGGAGAGGAGAGACAAACACTGATCATCACAAACATGAAACCTCTTCATGAAAGCTCATATGGTACTTTAAACATTTTAAATTTGCCTTTACATTACATTTAGCAGACGATTTGTGACCCTGGACCACAAAAACAGTCATAAGGTTAAATTTTTTTGAAATTGAGATTCATACGTCATCTGGAAGCTGAATAAATAATCTTTCCATTGATGTATGGTTTGTTAGGATATAACAATATTTGGCCGAGATACAACTATTTGAAGATCTGGAATCTGAGGGTGCAAAAAAATCTAAATATTGGGAAAATCGCCTTTAAAGTTGTCCAAATGAAGTTCTTAGCAATGCATATTACTAATCAAAAATTAAGTTTTGATATATTTACGGTAGGAGATGTACCAAATATCTTCATGGAACATGATCTTTACTTAATATCCTAATGATTTTTGGCATAAAAGAAAAATCTATTTTGACCCATACAATGTATTTTTGGCTATTGCTACAAATATACCTGTACGACTTATGACTGCTTTTGTGCTCCAGGGTCACATTTATCCAAAGCAACTTACAAATGAGGACAATGGAAGCAATCAAAATCAACAAAAGAGCAATGATAAATAAATTAATGCTATTATAGGAGTATTTCACTGCAACATTTAAAAAAAAAAAAAAGTTACATTACAATTGTGAAATTAATTTACAAACTTTTTTTTCAGCTTCATTTTCAAACATTAAACCATCAAACTTTCATTTTGATGAAAAAAAACAAACAAACAAAAAACAAAACAAAGGGAGTCCTTAAACCTTCCCTTTTTTTGATAAGCACTTCTTATTACAGGTATGGGAAGATTATTGGCGCATGTTACGTTTCCAAATAATGCAGCCCTAATATTAATATTACATTACAATAATCTAACCAAAACACAGTGCGAGAGAAAAGGGTGCTGAGAGTTCACATTCATGTTCAGATTCAGTGTGAATGCAAAGAGAACTAGACTCGTACTCCACACAGCTTATATCTGGGTCAACTGAAAGTGGTTTGAGAGGACTTCAGTGTAAGAAAACCAAACCTTAGGTATCTGTTTTTACTGAGTGTGCGCAAACCATAACTTCATTTGGAAACAAAAGCCATCACTTAAAGTGAGTTACTGAAGTCACTGAACTCCTCCAGCTTTTCATCACAGCTGATTTACAGAACGATGCTACACTGCTGCAATACACACTCGAAACGCTAAAGAAATGGATGTGCAGAGACACTTGAACACGCTCACATCTCTGCAGGAATAAAAGACTGGAAGGACTAGAGAAGGACTGAATTACACAGGAGCCGCTTTTTGTAGAAAAAAGCTCTTGAGCAATTGTGTTGAAGCTTATCAACGCTCCACTGACATCTATGAAAAAGCTCTTCAAGCAGATGTCGATTTCTGTTACCTGGTTTGCGGTTCTTCTTGGGATGTAAGCTCAGGTTTTTATGACTGCGCTTGTGTTTCTTTGATGCTCCGCCGCCTTGAGACTCCTTGTGCCGCTTCTGACTGGATGAGGCTGTGAGACAGATGAGAACTCAGTGAGAAAATGCATTTCTTGGTCAAGGTTCAAAGAATATTCACAACACACCATATCGCCCAGCCCAAACGCTTTTAAATTAAAGTAGCTGCTAACTCATAACCCTCTCATACAAGCACTTCTCAAAGCGGCCGTCTGTTGTTGTTGCAGTCTCCGCTATTTTGTTATTGTTGTGATTCCGTCTCTTTAGTTTTTCTACTGTGAAACAGCGGCCTGGGCCAGTGTTGCCACCTTGTGGAACAATTGATTAGTGCAAAACCAAGTCAATGTGCATGTGCGACCGGCACGTAAACGTACACATGGTTACAAAAATCGGGTGGTGCGCTTAAAGTACATGCGTACTTTTTCACATTTCCAGGTTTCTCAGCAGCGGAAGTCGTCATAGTTGGGTTAACTTCACAATATAACTATACACAAATATATTTTTTGCATTCCCATTTGCTCAAATAGCAAACGAAAAACTCCACGATAGTGTTTATGACTCTCAAAAAAAAAAGGAAAAAATTGAGAGAGACTGATAACGGCAGTCAGAAGAGAGAACGATGTCAAATTTACCATCCTCAAAAATAATTGAAAATAATTAAAGGTGACATAGAATGCATTGATACAATATTTTAAATTGTTCTTTGATATCTACATAGAAGGTCATATTTCAATACTGTCTCTCGCAGTTATATCGTTGCGTAATTATACTGTATATAAAATGCAGGCATCAGGGAGCCGCTATTAATATATTCGCATGCACGATCGCTTTTTACTTTCACTTTCGAGATTTGCGATTGCACTTGCACTGTGTAAACTACAGCGGCAGTACTTAACACACATTTTACAAGATCAGATGCTTGTCAGTGGTGCTCAGGATCTGTAAATCATTCGCCATCATCCTCAGTCATCCCTCCTTACTCTGTTTATGTGATAAGTGAAATCTTAAGCCAAAACTGACGAGTGTTTACATGAATAATCACTAAGCACCGCATTTTGACACATTTCTGCGTGTATTTGACCATTTAGGCACGCAGTTTAAGCTAAAAGTTTACTTTACATGTCCGTGTTCTGCTCCATGTCGGAGCGCATTGCACCGAACACGCACATATCTAATAACCATTAATAAATCAAGCACGTTTTTTTATTTTGCGAAAATCACATTTCATGATTTTACTGATTTGCACGTTAAGTTTGGGCTTTTATGTAGGAGTGAAACCGCACCGCTGGAAAGAGGAGGAATGGGAATGGGGCACAATAATCGTTTTATCTCGATTATTGGATTTTCATAATCGTTGGAAGCCGAAATCGAAACTGTATTTCGATTAATTGCACAGCCCTAAGTGAAGTATACTTTGGGCTTCAGAAACATGCATATGATGTAGGCCAGTGGTACTCAGGCTCCCTCTAGTGGTACGCAGAGGAATCACTAAATTAAATATAAATTAATGTTAAAACACAATACATTTCAATTTAATCTTTATTTATAATTTTTTTTACATTTGAGTACGGTACAGTTTTTATTTAACTTTTAGGTAATTTTAATTTAATCATTATTTAATTTTTTTATTTACCTGTATGTAAGCACAGTGCAGTGTTAATATTCAAACTGTGTATTTACAATGTTAAAGTGGCTGACAACAACAAATATTCTTTTTTTAACTGTGCAGAGCTGTATCTGAATAGTTAGGCCTACTACGCTATACTGTACCAAATATTTTCTGAGGTGGTACTTGGCATAAAACGTTTGAAACCACTGATGTAGGCGACAGTACGTACCTTTATTTTTCTGCTCGCTCTCCTGCTGGCTGCAGTTGCTTAGCGTGAGGCTACAGTTGCTGTTACTGTTGCACGACAGGTTTCCATCGAAGGCCTTGGAAGGGGAACCTGCCCCCTCTTCTTGAGGAATCTCCTGGATTTCTCCACCCAAGCTCTCCACCTCCACCGTGCTGCTGTCGGACTCGCTGCGCCCCCCCGCCTGCTCCTCCATCAGAGCTCCTGTCGGTGAAGAGACAGCTGGAGGACTGGCGGGCGGCGACGGCGCTCGGACCTCGGCGGGCGACTCCGGCGTAGTCGGAGGAGTGTTGAGGACCGAATTGGTGCCGCTGCTCGGATGCTCCTGCAGCTTGTCCTCGGCGACCTCCTCGTCCCGGGAGGGTTCGATGCAGGGCTCGTCCGGAGCCGTTACGGTGGGCGGAGGTGAGTTGGCCGCCTCGGTATCAGAGTCCGAAAACAGCTCCTTTAGGGTCTTCTTGGGCCACTGAACTTGGATACTGGACCACACGTCCTTCTGGCCTTTGGTACGACAGCCAGGCGACCTTTCTTCAATCCCTGTGGATATTTTGGCTCTTTTCTCCGGGATCTCCCAGAATCCCGAACGCCCGCTTTTATTCTTCTCCTTCACTCCGTTGTATTTCTTTGAAGGCGAGCCCTTGGTTTTGGGGTTTCCTCTTGGTTCTTCCTTGGTTTGTGGTTCTGTTGGAAAATCTGCTTCGTCTTCAGAGCTGCTACACGATTGAGCGCCTCTATCCTCCACCGGGCCTCGTTCTTCTAACTTTTTGGGCGAACTACTTGGCAGCCAATCGCCTCCTCTGCTGCTTCTAGTTTTGCCTTTCACTGGGCTTTTCAAAGCGCGTTCGCCTTGACCTTGTGCCTTTTTTCTTCTGCCGCCAGAACCTTCGAGCTCCACCTCAAATTGGCCCTTTCTCTTGCCTGTTTGGGGGCTGTCCTGGACACTCGGCCCCTCGTCTGCGACCGCGGGAGCTTTAAAGGCTTCAGACGGACTTCCGCTCTCCCAGTGCTTTGGCGTAATCGGGCGCTCTGGAAGACCTGCTTTCCGAAGGCTCGCTCGTGCTCCTGGATGATCCTCTTCGTCGTGATCAGCGTCACCATCGTCTTCTCGCTCACTGTCGTCTGTGGAGCTTTCAGAGCCTGTGGGAAACAGAGGGATGGCACTAAAACATTAGCTCTGCTCCAGTGCTAAATTAGACAACTGAAACAGGTTTCCCACACCTTTTGGTCAATGAATGTTCATGCAATTTTATTTTAGTATCATTGATATACTATTAAAGTTTGTTAATATTTTACTATTAGTTACTATTTTAGTTAATATTTTGAAATAGATTGTATTTTTTATTTTAATAAAGTTTTAGTAATTTTGTTTTTGTCATTTTTATGTCTATATGATTTTAATTCAGTTTTAGTTTTATTTAGTTTGTTTCATTTTGTATTTATTTTAGTTATTTTAGTACTTCAACTTAAAAAAAAAAGAGAAACAACTATATGAAATAATAATTTTTTTTCAGTTAATGTTTATTTTATTGCAAGTGTTAGAAATCCAACCACCAACATTTTCTAGTTGATGAAACTGCATATACTAACGTCCAAAAGTGTGGGGTCTGTAAGATTTTAATTTAAATGTTTTTACTTTTTTAAAAGAAATCTCTTCTGTTCACCAAGGATGCATTTATTTGATCAAAAATACAGTAAAACAGAAATATTGTGAACTATTTTTCCAATTTAAAATAGCTGTTTTCTATGAGAATATGTTAAAATGTAATTTATTTCTGTGATGCGCAGCTGAATTTTCAGCATCATTACTCCAGTCTTCAGTGTCACATGATCTTCAGAAATCATTCTAATATACTGATTTGCTGCTCACGAAAATATTTGTCATTAATATTTGTCATTTATTATTATCATTTATTATTATCAGTGTTGAAAACAGTTGTGCTGATTCATATTTTTTGTGGAAATCATGATACATTTTGCAACTTTATAAATGTCTTTATATTCACTTGATCAATTATGCGTCCTTGAAGAATAAAAGTATTAATTTTCCCAAAAAATTATCTTACATAAAGAATCTTACATGTCATGTCTTTAGCGTCAGTCATAATTAATTTAAAGCATCCTTGCTTATTTAAAGTATTAATTTCTTAAAAAAAAAAAATGAATGAATGGAACGGAATTGAATGGTGGTGTAAATAGGCAATAAATAAATAAATAAATAAATAAATAAATAAATAAATGAGACTTTTCAAAAAAAAAATTTCAAGTTTAAAAATTGCCATTTCTCAGCCACTAGTGGAACAAAACACGAACAGAGACAACGACAAGAACAATAACAACAACTTTTCCAAAGAGGTTTCCCAAATGCTAGCGATGTACTGTACATATAGATAGTCCAGCCCATAAGACTCATGTGATTGGTTGATTCAGAAGTTAATCCGCTGAAACAGACTGTTTTGAAAGCATCACAGTTAGAGATGCACCGATTGCAATTTTCTTGGCTGATTCCGATTTTAACCAGCCGATACCGATTTTTGCCAATTCTGATTTTCTTTCTAAAAACTATAATTGACAGCATATACAAACAAAAATCTATACTTTTTTATGCAAAATTATGAAACATTACAATTCCCCCAATATGGACAAAGTTACAGATGTTCTCTCATGTAAACAATTCTCAAAATAATACTCTGTGACTAGAAAAGAGATAGAAATAACAACTAACTGAAAAGGAGTAGCTGTATATAACAAAACAGATGTCTTTTCCCACTATGTGTCTTAAATTGTCATTTTTCACTGTCCTTATTAAATGTGTCATCTTTCACGACAAATTCTTATATTGTTTCAATTAATTCAGTTTGAATAATAAGAAACTGTACAGCTGTTACCATTCAAATGAAATCAGTATCAACAAACTGCATCTTTCCACTGCAGCAAACATAGAAGCTGCATCTGAAGTGGCATTAGATATATTTACACAGACTGTTTGATGAAGCTGAGGTGCTATAAATGCATTTACACTGCAAAATTTAGAATGCATAAAGAATTTTATATGATTAATGCTTAAAATATTTTTAAACATACAAATAAGAAACGTTGGGGAAAAATGCAATGATAGTTTTAAATATGAAACCAAACCAGTAGGTGGCGGCAAATGACTGTTTGAATGAGTGAGTCATTTAGTCCTTCATTCAACAGATTCGTTCAAACGGCTGATTCATTCAGAAACGAGGCAAGTGACTACTGTCTTTATGGGCCTGTTTACACCTAGTCATTTCATGTGTTTTCACTGATCGGATATCTATCTGATTTGTTAAAACGTTTCCATTTACACTTGGCCACATAAATGTGTCGTCGCAAAACGGATTTAAATCCGATCTTCAATTCCCGCACTATATTTAAATTTAACGGAGTTCACGTCAACAAAATCAAAAGATAAGCGCTGCATTTTATTAATTATCAGCTCATTTCAAGATCAAAGACCGCAATAGGAGAGCGCGCGGCATCAGCACTGGAAAGATAAGTTTGTCTTACTACTTTTAATGAAGATGATTGTGTGTTGACTGTCTGCGTCTTACTTTGTTTCATTCGCGGCAGTTTGCGCGTCGGCTTGCTCAAGAGATAATGCGTGTTGCATTAGTGCAGTCATATAATGTCATATAGCCTATAACACGCTCTCACACGTTTATTATTTTAACATTTTGGGAGGAGTAAAATTTACATACAGTGGGTATGGAAAGTATTCAGACCCCCTTAAATTTTTCACTCTTTGTTATATTGCAGCCATTTGCTAAAATCATTTAAGTTAATTTTTTTTCCTCATTACGATCGGATTTATATCCGTCTCGAATGCGTTTCGGAGGGCATTTAAACCTGGTCTTTTCACAATCGGATAGCTATCCGATCAGAAAAAACACATGAAGTGACCAGGTGTAAACAGGCCATATGAATGGGTTACTGAATCATTGACTCACTTGATTCGTTCAAAACGTGGATTCATTTCAAAACCGTTCTGCTGTGGCTTTGATTGGAATTATTTTCATCAGCGAAATTGAGCAAAAAGAGTCAATATTGTGTCTAAAATGTAAGTCACTTAATTTTAACTTCTTGTTTATTGAACTACAATTGTATAAAATCGCATTGCAATCGCGTTGAAACATTTTGTTCGTGCAATGTTGTGTACCTAAATCATATATTATACATTTCTTTTTTTAACTCTTTAGGAAGTCAAATTACTAATGACTGTCGTATAGTGACTCTGAACACAAGGAAGTATTTTAGCATTGAAAAATTGCACACTTCACCTTCAAGTAAGACTTGTAATTAAGCAGTGTGAATGTAAAGGTACCTGGGAGGCCGTTGAGAATGGATGTGATCTCAATGGGCTTGACAGGCGTCTGCTGGCTTCCTTCATCGCCATACTCCTTCGTGGAGAAAGCATCACTGCCAGAGTTTGGTTTGGACAATCGGTTGATGCGATTTTTGGGTGAAGGAAGATCCTCTCTGTCTGTCAGTCTCTCTATTCGGTCTCTTTCTTGTTCTGCTTTATTCTGTGATTAAACAAAAACAGCAAATTAACAATGCAACCTCTCTAAATATGAATATGCATAAAGAATACACTTGGATTTGGAGTCAGCAAGATTTTTTTGAAAGGAATTAATACTTCTATTCAGCAAGGATGCATTAAATTGATCAAACCACAAATATATGCTGTTCCTTGAACTTTCTGTTCAAAGTAATAATAAAATGTATCATGGTTTCCACAAAAATATAAAATGTTCAGCAGCACAACTGTTTTCAACACTGATAAAAATCAGAAATGTTTCTTGAGCAGCAAATCAGCATATTAGAATGATCTGTATTATTGATTAAATAAATGCAGCCTTGGTGAAGATAAGAGACATTTAAAAATTTTATAAAGTCTTACAGACCGCTAACTTTTAAGTATGCTGAACAAAAAAAAAAGAAAAGAAAATCTCCTTAAGGAAATCAGACTATACCTTTATTTTTTTGCGGTGCTTTATTTTAGGGACGTTCTTATTGGCTGGCCTGACAATCTTATCAGCTTTGATCCACTCGTCATACCTGTTAAGAGAGGCAGATTGGTCAACATTTACTAAATAATATGGCTCCAAAACTCACAAAACCTTCTCTTTTGTTGCAAATGCGAGATGCAATGTACAAATAATGAGATATTACATTGATTGCACAAGTCACAACTGCAAGATATAAAGTCACAATCAAGAGAACAAATGCACCATAAACATAAAATGCTGCGAAAGAGACAACATGACAAGTGTAAAGCACCAAAGCTGCAACAAGGTCTTCAGAAGATGCTGCTCTGCTATTTTTGTCAGAAATGTCCACACAACACACACTCAAATCCAAGTCTGAGAAGAAAAACCTGAGTATGTCATGATGACATGTTCTAGTTTTAAGGGTTGTTCATACTGACAGCAATTTGCAATGGCAAAGCAACCATAATCATTCCTTTTCAATGAGAGTTGGAAGGAAAAAACATACACTCAGAACTAAAATGAAGAAGATTGTGTACTTCGGTTTCATATGGCAACTGAAGAACTGCCCTTGAGATGAATGGGAATGCTAACGGACCGAACCCTGAGTTCACGTGATCCACCTCCTCATACCGGCCATTGCTGCTGAGTACAAATGACTACAAGTGTGAACGTACTTTCACGATCCATTCGTCTCTGATCATCTTCTCAGATGCAGAAAAGAAGTCAAAAAGTCTTTAATGTGTCAAGTATCAAATGCACACCTGACTTATTTCTATAAACCACCCAGAAACATTCTTTAAAGATGACAAGAGGCTGTATCAGTCTATCACTAAGCTGAACATTTTCCGCAAGACGACACGTGAAACTAGAAAGCACCTCCTCAATCTGGCAAGGATGGAAACCAAGTCGAGTTCACAAAATACCAGTTTGAAATTATAAATGCTTAGGAAGAAGTAACTGCAAAAAATTACCACGTTTTCCAGGTTAGTGCATCAAATCTCTGAAAGGAACTTGGTAGTAAAATAAATATCGATGAGCAGAAGTGCAAATTCTGCTTTGTTTTTGGACTTAGATCTGTGAAACAATCAGTATTTATTAGGGATGCATGATATTGGATTTTTGCCGATATTTTTCAACTCTTTTTGGCCGATAGCCGATATATTTCCTTTTGTTTGGAAACAACACCAAGTCTCTCCTGTGTGGAAATTATAAGCAATTATTTTTAATCTTGGTTAGTTTTTAACAAGTTTGTTAGAATTAAATAAACAATAATGAAGTTCTTTTATAATGACAGTACATTGAAGCTTTGAAAATAACGATAAATAAACTATATATCAATCGCTGCATTTCTTTTTTCAGAAAGATGCAGTAGTAACCTTAACATTTTATTTTAAGATTTAACATTTGTAAATGGTCTAAAGCAAAAGAGTTTCTGAAAATCTTTTAGAGCTCATACTTTGTTTAAAAAATATAACATATTACACATTAATGAATAAATCCGTATATAATATTTTTTAATTTACAAGTGTCATGTTTGTGATTTTTTTTGTTCATGTAAGCTATAGCTTCTGACCTTTAAATCAAAACATACTCATGATTTTATGACATCAATTACTGCTTTATTTAATCAGAAACAGTCTAAATGTTATTTGTGTATTTTACTTTCATTTTATTAAAAGTAGGCCAACAGCGCCCCATACGGAATTAAAACTCCTTACAGAACGGGCATTAGGACCCGGGGGAGGCTGCCGCTGCTCCCGCTGCACATGCTATTACTGTTTACCATATCACACACCGAAGCGTCATTCTGTACATGCATTCTCAGTTTAAATGCAGTGATCCAAAACAATGAATCCAATCACCATTCAGGCAAAACTTTGCTTCAAAAATGAGTCACACTGCTGACGTGATGTAATCGCTAGCACACCCTGAGCACATGTGAGTTAACCTATTCCTCTTATCGGCAAGACATATCGGCTTAATTTTTCATATCGGGCCGATGCCGATATTTACATTAAAAGCCATTATCGGCCGATTCCGATATCGGTCCGATAATATCATGCATCCCTAGTATTTATTACTTTTGGATGGGCAGAAATGATTATTTAAACACATTTCCACATGTTAAAACCAAAAAAAGCTGTGGTCGGTCACTTGATGTGTCCATCAAGCAGCAATACAGCGCAGCAGCAATGATGTATTTTTGTAGGCTGACCTGTAAGTTAGCGTCAACCTAGTTCCACCGACAAAAACCCAATAGGATTTTTCCATTGGCTCTTGGATAATTGCAGAAAATACCAACAAGAGTTTGATTCTTACGCATTTTGCTCATGCTGATCTTCACAAATGAACACATTTTGAAGCCTCAACACAATCAGCAGAAGTAAAAAGCTAAACGTAGGCTATAAACGAACAACAGCATAGTCGCATGACATCAACAACACCACCATTGAGTTTCGACAACTCTTTTTATTTAAAACATTTTCAATGAAAGTTTGAGATAGAATAGTTTGCCAGATAAACACGAGTAGATGAGTTTTCCTGTTCGTTTGATGACGTTTAATGTCCCCGACAACCTCTGTAGCGCCGTTTAACTACTTGTTAGCAACTGTAAAATCTTCTAAAAAACCTCACAAGGTGGCATTACTGATGCAGTTTGTGTCGAGAGTGAAACTGTTCACCAGCGGCCTTATTTCAGACATTTAACCAAAAACCTACTTATTTTGAGTCAATGGAACCGGAAGTGCTAAAATGCTTATTTCTGTGTTTTGGCCTAAAAAAAACTATGTGAAAATTAGATTATATTCACAACAGACCTTATTTCAGGCTTTTACCCAAAAACCCATTAAAAAACCCAATGACACTGGGACGATGAAAATGGAAGTGCTAAAATGTTTGTTTTTGGGTTTTGGCCTACAAAAACAATGTGAAAATACCTTGAGATCATGTTCACGACAAACCTTATATCAGATATTTAACCAAAAACCCATTAAAAAAAATAAAATAAATAACAAATGACTTCAAGACGATGCTATTGGCAGCGCTAAAATACACTTTTTTAGGTTTTGGCCTACAAAAACATGAAAATATCTTGAGCTTGTGTTCACCACTGACCTTATTACAGACATTTTGCCAAAAACCCATTGACTTCAGGATGATGGATCCAGAAGAGCTAAAATTCCTTGTTTCTGGGTTTTGGCTTACAAAAACAATGTGAACATGTCTTGAGCTTTTGTTCACCACTGGCTTTATTTCAGACATTTAACCAAAAACCCATTCAAAAACCCACTGACTTCATTGCAATGCAAATGGAAGAGCTAAAAAGCTTGATTTTGGGTTTTGGCCTACTAAAAACTCTCAATCCCTGCAGACTTTCTGACTCCATTACCATAATCTGATTGGGGCTACCAGGTTTTTCGTAAATGCAAACAGATTAGGCTTGAGTTCCCAGGGTCCTGCCTTACCTGATGTTCCAGCCACAGTAGTGCACCAGGTAGCGCACCTCTCCCCCCTCCAGGTCTGACTCTTTCACAGTGGCTTCGTACGTCTTCTGATTGCGGCCTCGCCCATACCTCACCTGCACCTTCATCCCAGGAGGGTAACACTCAAACTCCTCCCCTTCCTCCCACTCCTGACTGCTGACATCCCTGCAAGAAAGACAATTCAGTACTTCCTGTTTCCTGGCACTAGACTTTCCCCCCCGACTGCCCTCCCCAAAAAACCCTCCCCAAAGTGAGCTCGCTGTCTCAGCCTAGTGCTTCTGGAATCTAATTATCCTCATCTTTCCCTGTCGGATAAGTCTAGCAATCCTCCCGATAGGATGAGATTATCAGAGGAAGACATTATGGGGTCATCAGCCGGCTGTCTGAACCTCAACCTGGTATACTGAGAACTACTGCCTGTTTAAAAGGAATGTTTCACCCAAAAATGTATCTTCTGTCATCACTTACTCACCCTCATGCTGTATTTCTTATGTGGAACATGTCAGAAGTTTTCCAAGCTGTTTTTTTGAAAGCATATGGTGTCCAGTAGCTGTCAAGATCCAAAAAGTACTGAAATAAATAAAAAAGCTACATGCAATCTGTGCACTACATCCATGTATTCTGAAGCCAATGTATTTTGTATACTAAGCTGTTGTTTACTTTCCACACTTTAAATGCCCAAAACTAAAAGATTGAAATAACTGACTTAAAACCACTTTTTAGCTGGTTAAAATACTAATGTTCTAATAGTTTTGTCCACCACTGTATATTCAGTTAATAAAATATTATCATCATTTATAAAAATATATATATAAAAAATAAAAATTATTATTATTATAATTAAATACTTTAAGTAAATAATTGTATACTAATTAAACATCTTATAGTACATATAGTATCTACATATACATATAGTACATATAGTATCCAGTTATTTAATGTATTATATAAAACGTTAAATATATTCTCAAATACATTTTTTTTTTTACAATTAATAAATAATTGTACACTAGTGACGCATCTACATTTTTTATATACAAAATATATAGATGTTTCACTATTACCTAATTATGTATTGATTTATTGTTGCAAATATACATAATATAAAAAAATATAAAACATTAATAAATAACTGGAGACTGGTGAAACATCTACAATAATACCATGAAATATTATCAATTAATATGCTGCTTGCAAAAAGTGCACAGCCACTTTTAACTGGCTGTAAATGGAGAAAGATGCATTTTGGTGTAGTTACTGCATCTACTAGTAGGGAATAACTATTCATGCTAACCAGCCAAACACTGTACAAAAGTCCTCAAAATCATAAAGATCTTAAAATTACCTTTATGGTGTTTTTTGGGGTTTTTTTGGAGCTTGACAGTCTGCGGTCAGTCACTATATGAACAAGCAGCATGAACATTCTGCTAAACATCTCCTTTAGTGTCCCACAGAAGAAAGTCAGTCATACGGCTTTGGACCAACATGAGGGTGAGTAAATGAGTTTTCTAACCTTAAAGATATTTCAAATGTGACTTTGAACTTGAGTTCAGGATGTGTGCGTGTGACAGGGAAAGGGTCAGAGTGCAGCGAGAGGCACAGCGAAGCTCAGCAAGGGGCAAATCACAATCACGTTAGAGAGCAGAGAAGAAGCCACATTAGACAGTTAGCACACTGAACCCTACCGCTCCGCCGTGTGTAATGACTACATAGTGTGGATAGCTCTACCGAGAGACAACCCTGGTTAGTTAGCAGCAGACAACTCAACTAGTGATGCAACGACTGAGCTGGGACAAGGCAGGACCCTGGTTCCACATAGTTATTTGATTCACTCTGAGCAAAACAATACAGAAAATGGAGGGGGGAAGCATCATTGGAAAACCACCACTGCAGGATGATCGTTGAGACGGCGGCGAAAAGCATCTACGAAGACCAGCTAACTCAAGAAGACTGGATTAGTTAGGCAAGTTTAATCTCAAAAGGCATTCAAGTTGAGTCAATGCAACCAGATTTAATTTATGAACTTAAGACCAGCAGTAGAGGAGGGAATCGTTAGAAATTTAATGGTTGTGATTCCATTTTGGTTCTGGTTTCTTAAAGTAGTAGTTCACTCAAAAATGAAAATGTGCTGAAAATGTGCTCACCCTCAAGCCATCCAAGATGTACAGAGGAGTTTGTTTCTTCATCAGATTTGGAGAAATGTAGCATTGCATCAGTGTCTCAGCAATGGATGCTCTGCAGTGAATGGGTGCCGTCAGAATGAGAGTCCAAACAGCTGATAAAAACATCACAATAATCCACAAGTAATCCACACCACTCCAGTCCATCAGTTAACATCTGGAGAAGACAAAAGCTGCCTGTTTGTGAGAAACAAATCCATCATTAACGTGTTTTTAACTAAACTCCATAATCACGCTTCCTCCAGTGTAAAAGTGTTCTGGTCTGAATCAGGAGAGAAATCTGCACAGATCAAGCCAAAACAGCTCTAAACAAATACGTGGCTGGATTTTGATGTGAGAGACAACAGCTCCAAATCTGATGAAGAAACAAACTCATCCACATCTTGGATGGCCTGAGGGTGAGGACATTTTCAGCAAATTTTCATTTTTGGGTGAACTATTCCTTTAAATGTTTCATGATTCTGTTAGTACTGTTGAGTTAGTTCAGAGTTCAACGTGACTAAACACCTGCAAGTGAGTAAAGTGAGTAAGCCATTAAACCAAATCAATTCTATAGCTTATAAGATGAAGAACCATTAATGACACAATAATAGAACAATAGTCTTATATAATTCCATTACACTCTTAAAAGTAAAAGTTCTTTGAAGAACTTTGAAAATGTTTTTCACACTAAGAAAAAAGGTTCTTTTAAGAATTCACTGGAAGGTTCTTTGGGGAACCAGAAATGGTTCTTCTGAGGCTTTGCTGCAGAAACCCCCTTTGGAACCTTTATTTTTAAGAGTGTTTCTTAGAACAGCTTCTCAATTCCCAACCCTAACCAGACACAAATCTCCACATGATCTCAGCATCAGGGTCTGTTTTCATCCACAGAACATCTCAAAACATCACAGCAGAACACTAAAAGCATGATATGAGAGAGCAGAAAGCGTCAGGAAACACTTTAAATAGCGAAGGGCAGCAGTGGTAGAGCTCAACTAGTCAGTCCATCGCTTCAAAGTCACACCTGAATAGTGCAAAACAAAACCTAAAACACCCAAATCCCAGATTTGACTAGAAAACAGTGAACACAAAAACAGTGCAGAAATAATTCAGATTCAACCTCCGGTTCTACTGACTTTTGGAGAAATGTAGTCAGTTACATCAGTTTTTTTCCCCTAAGAAATTAATACTTTTATTCATAAAGGATGCATTAAATTGATCAAAAGTGACAGAAAAGACGTTTATAATGACAAATTAATACTTTTTAGCAACATCATATGACCCCTTTAAAATATATTAAATCACAAAACAGTTTTTTTAAATTATAGTAATATTTCACAATTTTTACTGTATTTTTGATCACATAAACGCAGCCTTGGTGAGCAGAAGACACTTCTTTATAAAGCTTGTAAAAGCCTTGTCTACCAGGTTTTGAATCTTATTGTAAAGAAATTCAATCTGATGAAATTTAATTACTGTCTTTATTCCATCACAAGCTAGCTGTGATATAGTGGCTGTAATATGTTATATTCTATAACAAAAGTTACAGAAAATTCACAGGAATTGAGTCACATGATACAGATCATTTAAATAACAATTTCAAACAGACAGCGGACAAATAAATTGTCCAGTGCAATGGAAAATAAGAACTGAGTTTTTTTCGGTTGATACATTTGATACAAAAGGTGTAGAGAGAGAAAGCAAGCTAAAGAGCAAATGCTTCGGCCAACATGCAGTTTCATAAAGGCCATCATGCTTGGCTTCAACGTCTCATCCGTCCTGCTCACGCCAGAGAACATCCACGAATAAAATCAGTGAAATATTTCCACAAAAACTGAGGTCACAATTTTTTAAGTGCTTTCATGATCGATCGATGTAATCATTCCATCCCTAACAACAACTTTTGAGTCACACATAGCAAAAATACTTCTGCCTGAACAAAGTCTAAGAGCAGCTCTCACTTTTTTGTACATTTCTCACTCAATCTTCCTTAGTTTTGTCTTCTGTAGAGCTGCTTATAGCTAAATTTAACTTGTTTCATAATTGATGAACTTTACAGTTATTGAGCTGAATATTGTTTTCAGCGCTTCTTTACAGCAGAATCTGAATTTGTCTCATATTTGAAGTACTTTGCATCACTGATTCTGTTATTTTCCTGTTTATTTCAGAGAAGCCATTTCGAAATGATCTGCATTGTATAAAAGCATTATAGAAATAAAGGTGACTTGACTCTTCGTCCCTCTTCTTCCTCTCATGTTTTTTCTGCACTACCAAAATCTCCAACATAGGCTCTACCTACATTTCTGCAAAACTCAAAAAACGTACTTATACATTACGAATCGCTTGCAGTTTCCAGTTGAAATGAACACTAGAGGCAGTAAAACTCCCACAACTTTTATTCCTTTTCACACAAAGTATGATTTGCAGGTCCACAGATTCGATTAATAAAGCCTAATTTTCGCATTATTACTTGAGGAATATTATGTTATGAATTCAAAACAATTTTAATATCCTGCGCGATTTGAAAACTGATGAATTTGAAGGTTAGCGTCACACATCTAGCTTCATATGCAGTTTGAGTTTTCTAACTCGGCGTTGCACTTGAGTGATGAAGAGCTTTGGTACGAACAACGTGAAAATACGGTTCAACAAAACAGCTCAAATCCGCATAAGGAAGTTCAAATAGCACAGCTGCATCGACAAATGCATTTTTTTATATCACTTTTGCTAACACTATCGGTTAGGTTTAGGGTTGGGTTTGGTGTAGGGGATATTTCCAACACGATACAGCATTAACTTTTAGCGACACTCCCTGGATATTTTAATTATGAACCACCGTAATACATAATACAAACACAGCAATTCGTGCCTACATCAACTAGGGCTGGGACAATAAATCGATTTTCGGAATGCATCGTGATTCTCTCTCGAATCGATTCTGAGCTTAGTTTTAACAGCAGATGGCGCTCTAGACTAGTTTTTAACCGCTCACTCAAATGCTCACGAAGAAGAGCACTTGTGCATTCGGCTGAGTAATGTAAGTGGTTAAATGTACTTGCACATCGGCTTTTATGCTTTTATGATGCAAGATTAATGTAAACACAGCCCACTGTGGACATCCTTGTAATTCGCGTCAACCTTTTCGAACTTTTTGAATGATTATTTTAGGTTTAAATGGTGCATGTGTAAGGAACTGGAAGCAAGCAGAATACGGCTATTTCTAAAGCATCTGCTGTTAAAAACTAAGCTCAGAATCGATTCAAGAGAGAATCGCGATGCCTTCGGAAAATCTCAGAATCGATGCAGAATCATTTCTCGATTCGCGATGCATCGATTTATTGTCCCAGCCCCAATATCAACGTAACAAAGACGTGCCAGGGTCACATATTGAACCCGGGTTTTAGCGCCGCGAAACGTGAAGTAAGGTACGTGATAATGGTGCTGCAGTAATGTATTTAGAAGCACGAATTTCGAATGAGCCTGGGTTGAAAATCCCTCCATCTTCACCTGTCTTGCACTGATCTCATTTTTGTCTCTGTTTCTCTCTCTCTCCTATGATGATCTCCTTCAGAGTAGGGCTGACAAAATGGCTGAAAAACTAAATTCGAATTTTTTACTTAACCCTCTACCGCACGCATTATGATAGACCTATAGAAAAAAATATTTAAATAATTTTCTTTTCTAAGAATGGCTTAACTTGAAGTGCTGTAAAAAATTTTGGAAAAAAAAAATTATTTTAAGGTACTTTGTGATATATTGCCATACGGCAACAGCATACAATAGTGGATCTAACTAAGAATAAGTGTAAGCTTACTTATAGTTAATATTTTTCCTCAGAAATGTTGTTTGTGTTGATTCAATTGGTGCTATTATAAGCTTTAACACAGTACTTATAATTGACACCTTATACATACTTTCCAACAACTTGTGCTTTTATTTATTCCATTATTTTTAGCTGAATAATGATTATAATTTATTAATTTCATTACATTTTTCATGAATATTATTTAAACTGCAAAATTATACAGTTAAAACAAATATAATACTGTATATCATGTATCATAAAACATTGACATAAAACCAAAAACATTGCTGTTCATGAAAATTCAGCATTACGCAATCTTATGAGAGGAAGACTATGAACATGAGCCCTCACATCGACCCCCCCC